GTCCCCAGCAGGCCCGGTGCCATGTAGGCAGGCCCGGTGCCGTGTAGAATACAGAAGTTGAATATCTAGTTCTATTTATTGAAGACTAAGAGGTATCGGTGTGGAAAACAGGCAGAATGTACACACGGAAGACAGTCTGCAAACCTAGCAAGTATTAGCATACTTACAAAGTCATCAGTAAATATAGCTCATGCAAAACAATGCCAGAATGGGAATTCTAATACCACCTTGAAAATTATCATTTTGAAAACAAACACAGAGCACACACTTACCTTTGCTCACGCAAAGTTGCTTGAATTTCACATACTCGAACTAAAGACCTTAAATTCTTTAATTCAGTACAAATTTCTGACATATGGACACTTCCCATGTTATGGGCTTCCTCACGTAATCTTGATGCCTGCAATGGTTACACATAAAGGTTAGGATTTTGAATCACACATTGGAAACAACTGGCTGTAACTAGAGGATTGCTGGATGAGTGTGTCTTGAAACAGCAAAGCACTCTAACTTCAAAAGGGAACATTAAATCAGAAGTACATTAAATTCTCTACAAAAGCCCATTTAGAATCAGAAATGAACAACACTGGCTGCCAAGAGAGTGTCTAACCCAGGCCCATGCTAAGGCAGGGATGGTTTAGATTTCCTTGATCCTAAAAAATGTTTACCCAACCATCTTGAAAGATAGCACATAACAGAGCTCCGAGTTTCCAAAGTAATTTGTTCAAGTAGTTAAAAGTCTCTGTCCACTATTTCAACGGCAGACTTAAATTTCCCATCTAAATTAAACCTTAGTGACAAAAATAATAGAATGCCATCTTCTTCCCAGCTACCTTATACAGGCAAAAAACCTTTGCAACTCTTTTCAAGTGTTCTCTTCCAGACAAACTCCATTATTTTAATATCCCCACTTAGTCAGGTGGAGACAAGCAGAAGTGTAAATTCAGAAGGCATGACCCATCCCCAGTTTGTGCATTTCTTAGTCTTGCCACTGAACTGGATATGACTCCAGAGACTCTTCAACAGCACCAAGGAGACTAGTATAATTACTCTGAGGTCCTGTGTATCACACTGCAAAAAGCAAATACGACTTCTTGCAAGTGGCACATTGAAAAAAAAAAAATGTTTCAGATAGATCCTTCCCTGCAGTATTACTGTTTAGCAATGTTATTCTCTGCTGTACTGGGTCTGGCTAGGAGGGAGTTAAGTTTTCTTCATAGCAGCCCATATGATGCTGTGTTTCGGATCTGTGACCAAAACAGTTTTGGTAACACACCAACATTTTAGCAATTGCTGAGCAGTGCATCAAGGGTTTCTCCCTTTCTCTCTATGACCCCCTCCAGCAAATAGGTTGTAGGTGGACAAAAGGCAGGGAGGGAATGCAGCTGGGACAGCTGATCTAAACTGACCACAGGGATATTCCATACCATATAATGTCATGCTCAGCAATAAAACTGGGGGGCAGTTTTCCAGGGGTTGCCATTGCTCGGGGACTGGCTGGGCATCAGACGGCTGGTGGTAAGCGACTGCTTTTGCATCACTTTTTCCCCCATCCTCCCCTTTTACTTATTAAGCTGTCTTCATCTCAACCCACGAGTTTTCTCACTTTTGCCCTTCCAATTCTCTCCCCCATCGTACTGGGGGAGAGTGAGTGAGTGGCTGTGTAGTGCTTAGCTGCCTACTGGGCTTAATCCACAACATCTGCCTGAGTACATGTATACTTGATTTTTCCTTCCCAAAAATAATGGTATTTAGCACAGGCCTTCATCAACTTCTGGCATTTCTCCAGTTCAAAGAAGCACTTTGTGTTCTAATTCCCTACATTTAATGTTTTCTATTCTGGAGCGTGTTGATATTCAGGAGTACCCTGGTCTCCAGTAGGACATCATTTTGCATGTCCTCCCTACATAACTCCAAAGCCTTGAGACTGATAGCAAACTATCAATAACAACTTTCGAAGTACTTCTTTTTAAGCTGACCAGTCACCCATCTTAAAGTAATCTCATTTAAAAGGCCTTAAAATCATTTTTGCATACAAGATTCTTGTTAAAAGGTCTTAACAGTCTTGCTGCAAATCAGGATACAACATTTATTGCTTTCCTGTACTACCAAAGCCTGAGACTTTATCAAAAGGAAAAAAAAAAACCAAACTGACACAATTTCTTTCTAAAAGGTTCACGTTGACTATTATCAGGGTTTTCTTTTCAGGTGTTTGTAAAAAGGTAAATTCATCATTTTTTCTACTTAGATATTGTTCAATACTCAAAGTACCTCTACAATCACTGAGTTGAGACCATCTACAATTCCATTTCTCACATTCCTTAAAGATAAGATAGTTATGTTGATATTTTCCAATTACCACATTACTGGATTGTTTTCCAGTTTTCCACATTAACTGCTGCTTATGAGTTCTGCGAGATAACTGCTAGTGGTTCAAGAATTGTTTTAGCTACTAATTACTGCACAGTACATTTCTTCAAGTCTGACTGCTTTAACACATACCTGTCCTGGCTCACCTAATTTATTTACTTGTTTATTTTTCAGTTTACTCTGGTATGTGCTCTTATGCCCCAATTTCAATTTAAGCTATGCATCTGGTTAGAAATCTGAAGAAACCAAGGCACGGCATATTTTATCCTCTCCACTTTCATCTAGCTTACCTTCTTCACTATGTATTGCACCTATACTTTCATTCAGTTTTCTTTTATGTCAAATATCTGACTTCAGTTCCTCAAGTGTTACTATTCAAAACTGGTCTACAAACAACACTGTCATTGCATGAAATCATCTGAAATAGCTGATAAGACAATATAGCATGTAACACTTGGCACAAAGGTAGAAGTATCCAACTGACTACATGACCGCCTAGCATTAGCTGTATTTTTTTATTTCTTTATTACTGATAGTGGGAAAAAAAATTACCTATGAACTGTATAAATCTATATTTTCTGCATTAAGATATATGTCAATTCAGTACACAGTGAAAACACTATCAAACCTATGGGCCAAGGCCACAGAGAGAAGTGGCTGTGCTGCACCATTTCCTTAAACACACATTCCACAGCAATGGCTCAGTCATTTGACTCAGTACGGGTTGGTAATGTCTTAAAATTGAATTTAAAAAATTAATGAAAAGAAACAAAACAAGAAGCCCAAACAGAGTCCAAATGGGGTGTCAGTCTAGACTGCACTTCTAAGAGTCATCCTGCAAGTTACTACCCAAAAGCCTCCAGTGTAGGCTTAAGCCAGCATGTAACCACTCTTCAAAAGACCAAAGTAAACCGGGCTAGGTAAGATTAATATCCCATACAGTGTCAGACAGGGTTGTGTGTGAAAGGACTTGAACCAATACGCTTCCTTTGAGTAATACATTCCAAGCAGCTGACATGCATCCAGTTTCCCTGTATTACCCACAACAGGATAGGTTTCATGCAGTTAGTTATAAAATATGGATGGCAATTCTACTGGATTCCCCCTTATGTAAAAATAGCCCAAATTCAGTCTAAGCCCTCTACATCATCTTAAAAACTGGGTACAACAAATAAGGCAGAGTTCCTTTTTCACTGTGTAGAGCTAACAACTCAGTGACTCAAACTGTAGAGCAGTCTCAAATAGTTTTAACTCTGCCACCTAACTCATAACATTTTCGACGTAACAAAAATATCACTATTATAAAAACCTGTTGAAATGTATGTTCTTTGTAAATTTCAACGGAACTTTGGCAGTAAGAAAGTAGTTATGAGGATAGCTATTCATCTGAGAGAATTTCAAAAGCACTGGTACTTGAAGAGAGAGTGAAAATACTCAACTGCTAAATGGCAATCACATGTAAAACCTGCAGGTCTGGCCTAATCTCTCTCCCCTCTCCTCTTTTCTGGCTAAGGCCAAGTATCAGGGGTTTTTTAAATACTTTTAATTCCTAGGAAAAGCAACCTGTGTAAGAAAACCAGATTTTAAGCTATACATTTTGCACTCTCACAGGGAACAAAGCGTAAGTGCACCCACCTGCTTTTCTGCATGATCTGCAGGCCAGCCTTGAACATGCTTTATAAGATTTTCATTGAAGTGTGCTGCTAGCGTAGGTGTTAATGAACAAGTGGGTCGTACAGATGTGTTTTGCGGTGCAGGTGTTGAATTTGATGCACTAGTGCTAGAGGTATGATTTGGACCTGGTGATGGGCTTCTTTGACTACTAGAAGAAAGAATTAAAAAAAAAAAAAGTAAGCATTTAAAAATATATGTAAACCTATAGAGAAATAAACACTTAAAATTCATTGCTTCCAGCCACAAAAATACATAAAGCATTTAAACCACAAGTAAATACTTCTGGTCGACCAAACCTGTGCCACTTTTCCATAAACCTCCTTTTGTATGGGAACTGTTTGAGTGCTACAATATAACACGGGTTTTTTCAGTTTTTTAACTTTGATAGTCGCTCAAGAGATACAAGCTGTGTCTACATTTTAGTGTTGGATAGAGAATACATACATGTATGTTCTTCCTTCAAATAGCTGTACACCTAAGATTTTCAATAATGATGTATCAGATGGAGTCAAGCAGGTTTATTCAAAAGAATATCGGCAAGCGTCACAATAATCACTAAGTACAAAGCCTGACGTCCTGATCTAAAAATATAGCCATATGGGCTTTGAGGAGTAAAACCATTTACTGATGCCAAAACACGAACACCTAGGTGACTTTGTGATACTGTATATCCTCACTTAAAGTGCTCCAGAGAACAGAAGTATCACGGGAGCAGTATAATTGTAGCTACCAACCTGACTGCTTTACTGGAACATATTCATGCTGCTGTTTTTCTGGTTGGTGTGTTAGCCTGCTGCTGGAGAACAGATGCATGGAGACACGTTCAGCTGATATGTGTACTGTAAGACGAATCAAAAACTCCGTGCCTTGGACAAAGCCTTTGACTGTCCTCTTTCAGATCTCCGTATGCAAGCAAATACAACATTTACGTTATCTGAACACTACACCAATACACAGCTTTTCCAATTCTACTTTGCAGCTATAATTCTTGGTCAAAAACTTTTAGTAGCAGTCTTTTGCCATCCACAGTGCTTAAGACTATGTTATCTACAAAGTATTCTAGCCATTGCTTTAAGCAATGTTGGTTTGTTTTTTTTTTTAACTGCATTCCTCTAATAATTACCCTCTCACTCCACTTTACAAGACATTTCTCCTCTCTACCTCATGAAGCTTCTCATGTAGGGGAGGGGCCTTCTTAAGAGTTCCTTCTTAAGAATCCCATCTCTTCATAAAAGCCTATTCCTGCCACAATGACTAAAAAAGGTGAGTACCGCTTAGGTAAATCTTTGGTAAACTGGTATGACTGACTAATCCACAAGGACTCTTGTACTCCCAATTTGCAAATACTCATCCTCCACCTTACACTTGGATGCTAAGCTCTCTAGGTAAAGAAGTAGGTTTTTTTGTTTCACTTGTATCGCTTCTCTCAATAAAGCTATGGTATACAACCTGAACACCTAACAAGGTTAAGCCCAACAAACTACAGAAGTTCCCCCAAAATATGTAAAAATCACTGATACTTGAATTTACCTTCCATGTGTTCAGAAGCCCAGGTATCAGGGCCAGCATGAACACTACACTCTCATATGGTATGGATCCAACCACATCTGATACAATTGCCAGAGCTGCAGCTACACAGTTCTGCTACATGTGAGAGTTCATGGCTGTTCTTCAACTTCCATATTTTATCAGCAACAGACAACTCCACTGCGACTTTCACCAGCATCGAAACTGGTATTTGGTATATCACTGTTACCAAATAAAGGATCAGAATGTGGGGGTTTGTCTCCTCCTTGCAAGCACTACTGTCCAGGTGATCTGATCTTCTAGGAAACCAGAACTTGCACTGGGAGGGGCACATAAGCCATGATGGGGAAGCTTAGAAGCACATGCCCTTTTCTACTCCCCCATCCCGTGCAAAAACAAGGCCTCTACACTCTTACTTCCCTTTCCAGCATGCATTCCTATCCCCCCACACTCACATAGAGGGGCTCTGTTCTTCTATTTTGCTAAGAAAGGTGGGAGCAGCGCTAGTTATCCATGCGAACATGGACAAGGACAGGTCAGGATAAGAACAGTCTGCTCTGTCCTCTCCACCCTTGTAAGGGAAGACAAAGGAAGCAGTAATCCTGAGCAGGACAAAAGAACATCACTAGCACCGTAACAGTGATGGTACCTCACAGTTACGATATTCTCTGGCACTACATATACTGAGACATAGTACTACTAATTGTGTAAGTACCTAGGCATTACTCATAAGATTATGTTTACAATCACTCTCCCACTGGCAGCAGCTTTTCAACACAGGCCATAATTTCAGCCTATTTCTTAAAACTTTCTTACTACTTGCCTGCAAGTGATATAAAGTAATATGAAGAAAAAAAAAAATTTGAGAGAAATCTCAATTCATCACCTAACCTACCCCCTTGAGGACTGAAAACATCCTAGCATAATGCAACTATCTTTACAGTCCAATGCCCAGCCATTTACCCTAATCACTCACACTTGCAAAGAATTACAGCAGGTTTCCAAACAAACAGCCAACAAATTAGGTACAGCACACTGCTCTGCAGCATCAAAGACTTTAACCTCATTCCTTTCAGTACCCCCAAACTTGTTTAAAAGCTTAGAATATAAAAAAAAAAAAATTATGCAGAAAGACTTTGGCAGGCAGCTTTGTTAGAGTTGTATACATAAATTTCCCTTGATTTCAGGCAGCAGAAGTTGCAAAAGGAAACATATGATGTAACTGGGGGAAAAAAAAAAAAGAATTTTTTGGGGTTTTGTGCTCTGTGTTCTCTTTGGTAATTGGCTCAACTACTTCAAAACCACTTATAAGTGCAAACGCTTAACTGTAGAAATGTTCAGTTGATTAGGAAAAAGTGGCATTTAGATTTTGAAGCTGGAGTTGAAACTAGCCAAGAACGTGAAGGGCAACAAGGGCTGCACATCTTTACCGGTATGGTCTGCCCTCAGGCCTCCCACAGGCCCAAGCACATCAGCAGAGTCAGTGTGAGTAAAGTATTACCTACAGCAGAGGAAGAAATTAAGGAGCAGTTAAGCCAACTGGACATATGTCCATGCAACCAGATGGTATGAACCCAAGGGTAATCAGGGAGCTGGCCAGTATAACTCAGATGCTGCATCATCTTGAAGCAGCACGGTGAGCAGGCAAGTTTCCTGATGACGGGATGAAAAAAAACCAAATGTTAAAGCCATTTTCAATAAGTACAAGGATGACAAACTGGGGAACTACAGGCCAGTTGACCTTAGTTGCCTGGAAAGTTATGGAACAAGTCTTCCTGAAAGGGGTTCCAGCTACATGAAAGACTAAAAGGCAAAAAAAAGAGCCAGTATAGATTTACCAAGGGGAAATTATACCTGACCAACCTCACTGACTTCTATGATGAGATGACTGGCTCAGAGGATAAGAGGAAAGCAGTGATGTTGTTTACCTTGACTTCAGCAAGGCCTGTGACATCATCTTCCATAGTAGTGTTATAGCCAAACTGTTCACTTATCCAGTCCATATTTCACGTGTAAGGTGGGTGGAAAACTGAATGAACTGCTGGGCTCAAAGGTTGCACTCAGCAGTACAAAGACCCATTGAAAGCCAGTGACTAGTGCTGTCCTTCACTAATTAATACTGGGGCCAATACTGTTTAACGTTTTTATTAAAAACCTAGACAGTGGCACACAGTGCACCTTCAGTGAGTCTGCAGATCACACCTACTTAAGGGGAGCAGTGAATACGCTGGAGGGTAGGTTGTTATTCAGAAGGACCTGAATGGGCAGAGAGGAACCAAGTTCAAAAGGCAAAGCCCTGCACCTACGGTGGAATAACACCGTGCAACAATACTGGAACAACCCCATGGAACAGCACAGGCTGAGTGGGTAGAAAGCAGCTTTGCAGAAAAGGACCTGAGGATCCTCGTGGACAAGTTAAATGCGAGTCAGCAATGTATCCCTGTGGCAAAGCAGGCCAAGCACATGCTGGGCTGTATTGGCAAGAGCATGATTGAAGAAAGCAATTCCTCCCCTCTCTTCAGAGCTTATGAGATCCACAGTACCTGGAGCACTGTGTAGTGGGGAGCCCAAAACCGGACAAGAATTAAACTGCCACACCAAAGGAATCTGGCAGAGGACCACACAGATGACTAGGGGGCCATGCCATACCAGGAGAGGCTAAAAGAACTGGGTTTATTCAGTCTGGAAAAAAGAAGGCTGAGGGAAGGGGATTGAAGGATCTTCTTACTGTTTTTAACTACCTAGGAGGAGAACAGACAGCCAGACTCTTTTCAGAGATGCACAGTGACAGGACAAGAGGCAGACACACAAGTTGCAACAAGGGAAATTCTAATTAGACATAAGTAAAAAACATTTCACCATAAGGGTAGTCAAATGTTAGAAGAAGATGCTCAGAGATATTAAAAAAATCACCTAAACAATGCCTTTAGCAATTCAAACTTGCCGGTCCTACTTTGAGTTGGGACTTGGACTAGATCACAGAAGTCCCCTCCAACCTAAATTATTCTATGTTTCTATGTATTCATACAGCATCAGCATACTGACGGTGCAGAGAAAGGCTACATTTATTAACAAAGTAGAATTGAGGCATCACCTTCAATGCTTATTTACTCCTTGGTCCTAATAGGATCAAAGTTCCCCTATGAATTGCCTCCCCTCCATTTATCAACCTGGCTTCTCTGACTCCTACTTCATCAGGAAAAATCACTCTAACACATCAGAAACATTTCAGGAAGATAAAATCTGTGGGTTTCTCAAAAATAAAGTTGTATCTTAATTATGAATAAAACATACTGTCACAAAATATCCTAGCACTGCTATGTTAGCAGCAGGGGGAGCTACGAATGCAGCAATGATAGACAATTCCAAACTATTGCTATATTTTTAAATGCTTCAATAAAGTCAAATACCTGCCTTAGCTGCCAGATGAGTTAAAGACTGACTGTGCCACAGACAACGGAATGCTTCCAGAGAGGCAAACACATCTGTATGAGAGTATGAAAACAGGATGGTTCTGAAATATACTACTAAAAACTACAAAATCTTACAACCTACAAAAAATGGGAGGAAACACCTCCCCCTCCAGCAGTTTTGCATTTTCTAAGGTAAAGGAAAATGGAAATAAACTAGCAACCTGATGAAACTATTAATTATGGAAGCACTCATTTAGTTCCATTTTTAAAGCAGCCATAATTCATGGCGCGTCTTTGGAATCATCTCTTACAAAAAGACTCACTGTATGCCTACATTGCATTAATTTCCCAACTTACATGACTGAAATGTTCACTACTTTAAAGTTATCAATAGCTATTCACATATTTCTTAGACAGTGCTTCCTCCCAAACAAGTTAAAAATAATTCTAGCTCCATTCGCTTAAAACTTTTAGTAACAGTAAAAGCAAAGGAAATGTAGTTGTGATTAACTTCTGCACAATGAATCTGTTTTTAAACTGTAGAAAAATGCAGCCTTAATTCATAGAGCCTCTTTTTGGACCACCTGTCCACAGTTCAGGTTCTTAAGTTGTTGTTCATTCCTATAAAAATTAAAGGGAGTTAGCCCCAAGACCAGTCCCCAAGTCTGACTGACTGCTTTCACCTGCAAAGGAATAATCTGTTCTGTATCAATTCAGAAATACAGCCCAGACATAGGAAATCATCTGCGGATGAGTAAATCTACATCTGAGCTGGTCCATTTTCATTCAACTCCACTGCACTGAACAAAAGAAAATACCAGTTGCACAGGTTTTTCCAAATCACCCGTTCCATTTTTTGCAAATGAGACACTTCCGAAAGAAACAGAAACGCATGAACTCGTGATGCACAATATACCACTGTCACAAACGTGTAACAATTTGAGAGATATAAGATGCTAAAGAATACTAATATTATCACTTATCTTTGATACTAGGCTGCACACTCTCCTCTGTGCACTGCCTCCTGTGCCGCTGCCTTCCCAAATATGGGATAGTACTACCTGCATGACCCCTCTGCTTCAGTGGTACAGTTCCTGCGACAAACTCAGCTTCCCTTCTCCAGCAAAACGCTGATGCCAAGCAGAGCAATGGTTTGCAGAGGTTCCCTAAAGGGAACTCAATGTGGGTAAGGGTTATGCCAGAGCAGGAAGTCCTACAGCCCAAAAAGGGGGTACAGGAGGGTGGGGACACAGACACGGTACAGTGTACGGATTAGCAGGCCAAATGCCCACCAGTATCACTTCACACAGACTCCAGGCCATAGTGAATGTTTCTGAGAATAAGACTATCTTCCTTAGCAAGATTTCCGATGGGGAAAGGGTGATTAGCAAAGGACAAAAGGGTCTGTGACTAAGAGCTATTCCCCAAAACCTCACCGCTCCCTCTAAAAAGGTCCAGTCCCCTCATTAAAAAGGTTTAGCTGGTTGCCAAGTATAATTTTATTTTTGGTACTGTAATTCAGAAAGATTTAAACAGCACCATCCGTAATTACTAGAGACTGGAGCTGGTACACTGTGTCTTTATTCTACCCATAGAGGAAAATGAGTTGTAGGTTAGACATCTGCCAAAGATTAGAATCAAGTGTCTGTAAGATAGCCAACATTAAAGACTCAAAACCTTCTGACTTCCTTCTGTTTGTACCCTCAAACTGATCAATATCACAGTGTCTCCAGTAAAGCCAGTCACTGGGACAGGACCGCCAAGCAAATAAACAAAAAACCCAAACACAAAACAATCCCCCTCTCCCACAAAACCAACAAAAACCAACACAGATTTGAAAATCTAACAATAAGTTAGTGCACCAATGACACGTAATCAAAGGTCCCCTTTATGATTAGTCCCAGAAGGGCAGATAAAAGGACCTCACTATTTTATGATCTGGAAAGCACCACCATGTAGCTTTAGGTATGCTGACAAAGAAAGTGTGTTGGGTTTTTTTGTTTTGGTGGGGGTTTTTTTTTGTTGGTTTTTTTGGGTTTTTGTTGTTGTTTTGGGTTTTTTGGGGGGTTTTCTTGGTGGTTGATTTTTTTTTTTTTTTAAATACCATACCACACACCTTATTCAACCACTCCAAAAATCTAGCTTTTAAGAAATGCAACACTTTGTAGATTTAGAGGAATCTACTGCGATATGCACTTTTTAAAAAGTCAACCTGCAATCTCCTCCTGCCACAGTTCTAGACCATGACGCCGTCACAGAAAGATCTTATGACAAATCTTTGGTTACAGCCCCTGGAACCAATATGATAAAGTGTACAGCATCCTACACAATGAAAAGCCCATCTTCGCAGAACAAAAATTTCAGGCAAGATACAGATTCTAATCCCACCTTGTAAATCCATGGCTAAATGTTCCTATCATGCCACATTTGAATAGGCTGCAATGTTGACAAAAAGGTCTGGCCAACGAAAAGCATTCGTGAAACTTACTTTATTTTTTAATGTTTTTCATTAAAGCAGCAAAATCGCCTGATAGACAAAAGTTGTTCCTAATTTAAAAAACAAATTACACTACAGCAAGACACCACATACATCTAACACTATGCAAATCACATAGAGTTAAAGCATTTAATCCCACAACTGCACAGAAAGAAACAAAACCTCCAAACTCAGAAATCACAAATCAAGGAATCCCTTGTAAAATTGACTCCAGAGTGACAGGTCAGAAACATTAATTCTATTTTACTTCTGTGAATGGAACTCTAGTGGTGGTCCTAAAATGGAGAATCTACCACATTAGCTCTGTAACAGAGATATTTAGCTGCACTCTTTCAGTAGCAGCAGAGTTAAATCATGTGTTCAATAAATAGGCCAAAGAAGAATCTACAAATTGCAACACATACAACTTACATTGGATCCAGAGTAAAAACAGAGGACAGCACAGAGAAGTATTTCAATGTACCTTGAGCGCTGAAGACTTCGTGGCGAGGCAGGTTCATGACCTGCCTGCTTGTCAGCTATTACTGGCTGCTGAGGTGCTGCCTGTGAAGCCGGTCCTTGTTTAACACCTGGAGTAGCAACCTGGAAAGTTCAAAACTTCATTAGATTTTCTCCACAGTAAATATCAAGTGTAAGAACCAGAGGAAAACAGGGAAATTACAAGTACAAGACCAGTGGGGTTTTTTGATACAAAGTCTTTTGCTGACAGAATTTTTATACTCTTCACAAGGTGTTTTTTTAAAAAATCATCTCTAGTTCCACAGCTGTGATAGATAGCTTTTTTTACTAAAATAGAAAGAGTACTTAACAGACATAACAGAAGCAAGTTTAGATGCGTCTGACTTATCAAAATATTGCAAGTTTATTAGATAAAGTAGTTCAATCTTATTTCATTTTTGACCATATCTTCCATGTGAGCACCAAGCTCATTTTCAACCTCAGAATAATTGTTCATTATCCAAATAAAAATTTTCACTTAAAAAATTAAAAGTTTTCTACTTGAAAATACATTACACAGTGTCAAGAGCAGAATTAGGTCATAAGGGTTTTATAGCATCTCTATCAGAAATGGAAAAAAAAAAATCTAAAGCATACTTATCAGTCTGCTACTCCCCCTTTTTAACTGTTCCAAATTATGAATGACTAAGGAAAAAAAAAATTAAGAGTCACCAGTAGCTTTTTGCTTCTCATTTGTAGTACATACTCACATTTAAGATACTAAGACACCAGCAGTGAGATATAGTCTTTTTTCTGTGAATTCCTGAACTACAACAGGATGAAAAGTTTGGGAATATACTAGTGTCTAAGTTACAGTAAATGGAGTTCAAGGTTTTTTTTTTTGCCCCATACTCTGCATACCCCTGTCCCTTCTAAAATACGGACACGAGAGGAAGCAGCTCCAAAATTTATCCCCCACTCTGGAAAATCAAGCTAACAATTTTAAGAAAGAGGGAGGGAAGAAAAATGGGGTTTAGGGATCCATAAAGACAAAAAACATAAATCAGGTAGCCTGTCTGGCATTTGCTGACATCAAGCTGGTGTAGATTACTAACTAGGTCATCTGAACCTCCAGAAATTCCCTGAGTTTCAGAAACAGACTCCTGTGAAATAAACCAGACAGCAAGTCAGACAGTATCTGCTAAAGTAAACTCAAGACATAAGTTCATTTATTTAAATATACAGGAAATCTTAATGTAATCTCAAACCTACTTTTATGTCTAAGAGGAAAAGCCACCTTTTAAAATTACCATCAAAAGCCAAAAGTCTGAATAGCACATGAAAAGGTCATGGTTCTGGAAAGATAAAGCAAGATCGTTGTAAGATCATTCAGTGTGTTGAAATCAACAGAATTATACAGTTGAGAGGGCGAAATAGCAGCAGTTCATAAATTGATTTACGAAAAAAGACTACCCGAGTATCTTTATGAAGTGTATGACATGAAGAACTTTGCTATCAATGCCTGAATTTTGCTCACCCTGTGAGCAGCCATAACAAGAGGCTGTTTGAACAGAAGGAACAACTTCAAAAGGAAAGTCCATCAGAGATAATATGATCACCTTGCAGGTCCAAACTGGAGAATTAACCAGCTCCTTGGCTGGTAAAAATAAAAACAAAAATGGACTGTAAAGAAAAACTGGGATTTGTGAGATAAATGAGCCACAAAAACTCTTAAGTATTCCCTATCTTCCAAGTGTTTCAAAGACTGTAAGTGTACCAGGAACAGAAAAATAATAAGGGCTAAATAAAAAAAAAATTTCCATAAGCAACGTTCTCTCCGAGCTAGGCAGATATGTGTAACATATGCTTTACACAGGTATTTTGCAGAAATTCAGAACAGTTTCTAACCATAGAACACAGGCACAGCGAAATAGCAAAACGTGATGCCCAGGATCCTGGAGTCTGTGACACCTGAGCTGCTGTGGGCACACAGCACACCTCCAGGCAGACATACCAGCTTGAGCTTAAAAACAGTACAGACGTGTACATGCAGTCCTAAGTAACAAGCCCTACTGTGCAAATGGCACTACACTGTTCCCAGAGCCAGCCCAAGTATGTGGGCATCTGGCACCGGGCTCTGCTTGCATGGTGCCAGTTCAGCTTTGTCTACGCTTGCTGCATAGAAGCGCCCTAAGCCAATGAGCTTATCCTCTGAAACCAAGTGTTCCTGGCACAGCACCACATCTTAATTATGTGTAATTGACCTCAAACTCTTAGAACTGGATAAGGTAACCTGACTGACATACCCAAAGGTGTACTAAAACAGACATGCTTACACTGCAGCTATTACCACCTAAGTTCTCATCTCAATTCCATCTTATGGAATTCAAGAAAGTTCTTTCCCAAAAAAAAATGAACCAGAATTTGTTAGTTCTGGGACTAACACAGAAACAATTCATGTTAATATTTCAACAGCTCTGTGTTAGTACCAGATTTGAGGAAGACAAAAACCAAGAAAAGCTCCTGCTGTCAAGCATTACTACTAATTCTGTTTAGCTGATCTGTGAAGCTACTCGAGATACCTAGAAAATAGAAAGCTTCAATGGTTATGATATGCCAAGGTAGTGAGAGTTGTAACTTCCTCACAGAGGGATGGGAGTGAAAACTTGCCAATGTATATAATAATGCACAATAGTCCATCAGGATTAATGGTATTCTGAAGCAAAGACATTATAGCTTAGAATGAGTAACTCAGAAATTTACTACACTTAACACTTTGATTGCAACGTTATATGTGCTTCAAAAATAAACCAGATGTGCAATTTCACCTCACTGTGGTGCAGTCTTAAGGAAAGATGGATTAAAATACAGTAATTTCAAAACGTGTCACAGTATGCTCATCAAAATATAGACATCACTGCTTTCAGAACAACTTCTATATACGTAACAATAAAACACACAATGCCCTCCTTTGAAAATACCAGAGGTGAAATCCTGCATGCCAAGTCACTAACTATAGGCAACCACAGAGCCCTCCATGTAAGTGGAGATTCTCATATCTAACCAAGCATAAAATAACCAACACTTTTTTCTGTTGTTTTTTGAGGAGTGGCAGCCTTGCTGTAGTTACAATTTACACTAAACTCAGATCAACTCTTCTCAAACCTGCATTTAGCCTTGAAGTTTTTTGCTTCTACTGAAAGCCTGAGGGAAGGCTTGTGTGTCCAAAAGCATATTCAATTATACAGTTGGCCTACCAAGACAGATTGGCCCTATTTACAACGCTTGGCTTGCCTTCACTTTTTCTTAAGGCATAGTTTACTACCACACTACCTGCTTCACAGGTATAATGCTGGCCTTTATACTGGGTGAAAGGCAGTGGGTTCAAGTTTGTCTGCACAGTTCTAGGAAAACATCTGTAGCAGGATGGTAAATAATAAAAAAGGTAAGTTTATAAAACAAGGATAAATGTCTTGGGGGGCGGGGGGGGGGGGAATCCTGCTGGGCTGAGCTGTCCTTCAAGTTTTCTTTCAGAAAACACTGTAGATAAAGAAGATGGCAAAGGATAAAGCTTTTGCCATGTTTATAATGTAGCTGATAATCAGAACTTTATTTATAAAGTAGATCCAGATCTCTGGGTTGTAGAGACCAGAAGAGATCAACTTCCAGTTACTGGCAGTAAACAACTTAAGAAGATTCTTTTTCATACCCCAGGATTTGAAAGTGCCAGACATCGCCCTTCTTTGTTTCAAGACCGCTATTTGATAATTTCATTACTTGTCACCTAGCTATGGGATGTGACCACATAGATTCAGGATGTACTCCAAGGGCAGAAACAAAGACAACAAGCAGGATTAGTACACACACAATTAGCTTTCACAATCCATTGTACCACTGTCAATCACAACAAACTGGAAGAATCACATGGTTTTCTTCGTACCCATGAAAAATTCAAATGTAAGAAAATGAGGCATTTAGACTAGATTCAAGAATGCAATCTGTCCTTCTGAAGATAAAAGCATTCCTTAAAAGGCCTTCAAGACATAAGAGGTTCTCTTCCGAGAAAAAAATTGAAAGAAAGATGCCTTAGCTAAGCAGGGTGAGGCGGGGGGGGAAGGGAGAGGGGTGGAGAATGGGGATTTTAGCAGAACCACACAAAAAAAAAAAAAAAAAAAAAATCAAACAAGACTGGTCTCATCCCAAAGTCTAGAGTCATGCTTCTTACACTGGTAAGTTACTACGTACACTGAGCAACATACTGATAGACTGGGTTAAAATCTGAGGGTCTCAATCTTGAAAGAAAGTTCTGTACAATGAAGAGAGAGGACAAGCTCCCATTGCATGAAAACAGCAAACCTCTAGGAGAGGTCCAAATCCGCCTCAACAGACTTCCATATTTCACAGCCAGAACAACACCACTGTAAACTGCTAAATTTTTGTTTGGTTTTTTTTTCTTTTGTTTTTTAAACAAAAGGCACAAGAGTGTTATGTTCTGCAGCTCTACCTAACACTACAAAACTATCTTGAATGTGAAAGGATACTTTCCACCAGAGGGTGCAAATCAATAGCTCTGCCTTCAGTCCCCTTTAGTAACAAAATCCTCCTTCATAACAGATCCTTTAACCCAGTATCTCTTCCCACCCTTGCTCCATAATACGAATCACAAGTCTTTAAACAAGGAAAAAGAAAAATCCTTAAGGGGAAGTTCATCTTGAGTGCCTCTAATTACATCTACTTTCCATGTACACAGCAAAACAGTCTCTGATCCGCTGGACAGAGAAATTAATTAATTAATTAAATAATCTCAGCTTCAACCGTATTTATTCCTCAATATCGCCACTTGTAGGATATGGAATACTGAGCTCAGATTCTGCAAAAGACATTTTTCCTCTAAAGAGTGACCCACTAGAGGGACCACACCCAAAAAAAAAAAAAAAAGACAACTTTATGTTTTCTACTTCATCCTTAGGAAGAACCTTAGGAGCTTATTGGTTAGCTTCAATTAATGTTTCCTAGTCACTGACCCAGTTAAGGAATTCTGAATGAATCGGGGTGAGGTGGTGGGAAGGGAAAGGGACATAATGTTATTGATCTTGTAAACACCTAGAACATTTCTAAACCAAATTTGAGACTACATGAAGTCAACTTCCTCAAGAATTTCTCTCCCATTCTAAAAATCTTTTATTGGCTAAAATCTAGAGAACTATATCAGCTGTTGCCTTTGGGGTAAGTTTTTGTTTCCATTTAAATATATTAGAATACTGATCTCTTAGTAATATTTCCACACAGCATCTGAAGCGAGCACAATTTTCTTCAAGAACAGAAGAGTGTACTAGAATTCCATGGTAGAGTTGTACTGCAAAAATATGGCCAAGCAGTTGCTTCCAGTTGTTTCTATCGGGAAAGATAATATACATATTTTATCATCCTATATATTACTGCTAGCACATGGATATATAGCAGCAATACTTAATATTACCTATAATGGTTTCTTACTACAGTATGACATAAATCAAAAGGAGCTTACCTTCTGCTGCGATGATACCGGTGGTGTAGTCATCAAAGGTTTAAGAGGAACAGTGTTAGTCTGAGGCGTGCTTATTCTTGGAGATACATATGATCTTGGCGATGAGGCATCAGATGTTAAAGACATTGGAGACTGATTAGATGGCTGAGCTGTAAAGAAAAAAAAAAAAGATTGTTTTTAATAAAACCATATCCTATCTTAAACGTGAATTAGATTTTCTTTTGGTACTTTGCAGTATCGTGTATTAGATAATATGCAAACATACTCACCTTGAGACAGTTGGGGGTTGAAAAACTGAAACAATCAAATGTTCAACAACAATCCTAACTAAAGAATTGTATTTTCCCCAAACCCTCCACTTCTACAACTTGAGGGGAGGGAGAAAGAGAAGAAGCTATTATGCAATGCTTTTTACACGTGAAGAGACTAAATTAGTTTCATTTGCAACTCCTATTTTACAGTGTTCAACTTGATTTAACCAAAAGAATGCATGGTTTATCTCGAAACGTATTCACCCACCAACAGTTCTCTGCCCATTAATTTTAATTACTGCTTACCTACTCAACAACACGACTGCATTTCTTGTCTTGGTTTAAGTTTCTAGCTTTATTAAGTTACAAACGAGAATGTATTGAAGATACCTTAAGGAATATCTTGCCTGGAAGCTGAAAAATACTATTTACAGAAGACTACAAAAAACCCCCACCAGACAGAATAAACTTTCTTTTAAAAATTTAAGGACTCCTCCAAGAGTCACAGTTGCACAGTATTACAGAAAGGGTCTTCAATCAAGGAAGAGTTGTGTTTCATATTGTACATTAAATAACGTCTAATTAAGGTTCAGAATAAATTGAGAGGGTCTCACACATGTTTCACATTACTCATACAGAGTTAGTTAACGTACAGAGAAAATCCCAAAAGGCGAGACAGAGAAGCATATTTACTTAGTTGTGTGTCAGCTTCCTGCTCCCCAAGTAACAATTTCTTATCCTATCTTTGGAAAAAGAAGTCATTCAACATCTTCCACACCAGATGGCCAAAGATAGGACAAGAGACAGCTTATGCAAGTTTCAACTGTATCAGACTTTATAAAATGCAATGTAACAATTTTACATAAGTGAAAAGAAGACTCCGAATACCTTGCGTAGACAGTTGTGCAGCTTGAGAAATTAGGGAAGTGATATTGAAAGCAGATGGTCCAGCAGTAAGAATTTTATGGAGTATAGACTGCAGAGAGGCTTGTGTCACAGCTGCTGTTAGAACTAAAAACAAACATTCTGTTTTACTGACAATTCTAGAACATCCCTTTAAACTGTTCAAACTGGCTAAATACATTTAAGGCGCATTTTCTTTCCGATTTTGTTCCCGTATCCACAATAGACCAAAGAGCCACCTGAACTATTTTTCAATTACTTGAATTAAATTCATGAATGCTTGGCATGTCTAACCAAGTCCTTTATTTATTTAATAGTTTTATCTTTGAGACATACACTAAAAAAATTCTTTTAGAAAATAACTTTAACTCTTCAGCTTGACCTTATGTATCAATAGTAATTCTTGTAAACATAAAGAGAACATTTGTTCAATTTGTTACTGTAGTTAGCAGAATGTGTGGGGTTTTTTTTCAAGCTACAATAATTTTTTTAAAAGGCAAAAAAGCAGTATCACTTTAACTCACTAAAAAGAGATGGGAGGGGCGCAGGGGGGGAAGACTTCCTGTTCAAGGAAAAAGAAAAGATCTTTCAAGTTAAAAATCCAGATACTGAGTGTTTCTTCTTAAAAACAAACAAACAAAAAACCCCATAACAAACAAACAAAAAAACCCACAACCAAAACCCACACAATTTACTTGTTCTGGGTTTAGCTGTCGTCCCACCCCCCCTACCCCCCCCAGTAAAAAATTAATCATTTTCAACCATTCTAAAACTGCACTACACAGAAGAGCATCTTACAGTATGAGCTGATAAGACCAGCTTCTGAACTAGTCTTTTCAAAAACGTCTATAGGCTCTGTGGGATACTTCCTGAACATCCAATACCCATGCACAAGTCTGAAAAAACTGACTCACCAGCACAAACACAGAATAACTCTGCATCATGTGCACAGTAAGGGCAGTCCTGCTGTGCAAGGTGAAGTCACTCGGCCCACGTGGACCTGCCAAGCCAGGCCCTCATGCCATCAGAACAATACTAAACACTCTTGTCCAAGACAGACACAGCTGCTGCTCAGATACGGCAAGAGAAAATGACTAGGAACTTAAATTGGCAGCTTTCTAATAAAATACAATTAGAGTCTTGATTGGACCTTTCATTTTTTAACACAAACAACCATGATACTCCTACTTTTTTAGTCCAGCCTAGTGCACTACAGTTTTAAAAGTTTCTCCCTGCACAGGAAAAAACAATAACCAACTCACCTATTAGTACTGAATGAAGCCATAATATTTGCTGATTAAAAGGAAGTCAATTGACAGTTCTTCCTTATAAATAATCATAACGTACATAATAGTAAAACTTTAAGTAAAATTTTACTATTTTGACTTTCATGGTTTGCACTTTTTAGAAGTTAATTAACTCTGGGCACTACATGTAAATGTTTTGCTTCCTATTTAAACTGGTGATCAGTGCACAAGAAGTTAAAAGCAGCAAACAAAAAATCCCACACCACTTTCTTCATCAGTAACCTGCCACATGCAGACACCATATTAGATAAAATTACATTCAAAATGCATCAACTCTACCTGTTCTTGCAGCGAAAGGCACTATAGCTAGTTCTAAACTTTCTTCTAATAAACTAGGCCAATGTGACAAAAATCTAAGGGATACACGGACTACATGCACAAAATTTAACTTGCTAGCAAAATTACTGAGATGCTATCTTTATTCAGAGGCTAACATGTTCTGTTAAAGAAAAAAAGTTGATAGGTAACAAGATTTAAGAATCCCTAGAAGCTTCAGTATTTGCAAACACATGTTAGAATAGCAGCACAAACTACAGAAAACAAAGAACACTGCACAAAACAAAAGAACAAAAAGCTCTAACTAAATTTTGTGCAACAAATGAATGCTGATACAGCAATTAAGTCACCAGTCTCAATTAGACTGCTCTCATACATCAGCTTAACAACCTTAAACGTTACTTGGCTAATTTAAAAAGGTTTAACGGAAAAAAACCCAAACAAAAACAATCCTCACTTTAACTAGGGATTCATTTATCCACTTTTCATTTAAAGTAAGGCTTGCATTTACTACAGCTTAGTATCCAATAATATACTAATGTGTGTAAATAAGAGATTACATCAACTTTAAAGAATCCTTACCTTCATTGATTTTGGATATATCTACGCTAGAATTATTAAGCTGCAAGGTGGCTTGCAGAGCAGGCAGCAGCTGTCGAAGGAGATTTGGGTCCTGAAGTAACGGAGGAATTGGTGATTGTGGAACAGGTGAGACAGGAACCGTAGGAGCAGATGAAGCAGGCGCAGGAGTTGGATTCAGTCCAGAAGCAGAAGATGTAGAAGGAGTTGTGCAAGAATGGGATACAGGCTTGTCCACAGATGCAGACTCTGAACAGAAGACAGACAGTAATTTTCATTTTCCCCAATATAACTGACAACTTCTCACTAGTACAATATTCATATTAAATTCAGAAGATCAAATGCTTAACTATCGTTACAAGAGAAAAATATAAACATGAATATAACAAAAATTGAAGATATTTTATATCTAGTGTAATTTAGCCTATTGCACCTAATATTTATTAGGAACACATACACAAAAAAATCTTTCCACTTCAAGGTATTGGACTGAAAGCTGCCAGTATTACAAACGGGAATTTTTTCCCCCTAATTTTTAGGACAAACATGGGCCAAAAATTCCTTAGTGATTTTTTTCTTTTACTATGCATATATTCATCTTCTATTTTTTTACCCATTATTCCAATCTTTCGTTGGAAAATATACTATGAATGAAAACCTTATAGTCCATTGAATTTACAGATAGGCTAAAGTGTCAAATTTGAGGGATTTGAAGCCATACTTCATTTATTCAGAAACCAGACTGCAAGAAGCTACAAAATAAAGACTAAGTCTATCATACACAATCCAGCTACATTGCTCAGGATTCACAGACAGGATAACGAGCTGTACTAGAAACATAAACCAACAGCTGTTAACATCCCCACAGCACAGTGGAAAAACATCTAAAAATGTACCTGCCCATAATTAATTTCAAACTTGTCAGCTTCTCCCGAAGCATCAAGACCTATATCCTTTATTTTATTAATCTCATTTTAGCAAATATCAACACTTCTTATCCACAGAAATGCTTAGTACTTAAAGTCAATTATACTGCATGGCAATTTGTTCTAATTAATGTTGAGTTATTTAATTAATTTTAAATTTGACTTCCAGTTAACATGAAAGTTTCTCCTCCATTCCAGTACTGTGAGAAATTCCTGCACTGAAAGTATTTCTGCTTACTATAGGCGTACTACCAGTCACTTCAAATATCCTTCCTTGAAGAAGCCTGGACCACTGTATTTCAATTTTAGCTTCCCCTTCTCTCATCCCCATTAAACCCATGGGAGACCTCTGCCCCTAAATTCAGTCAAGACTAATGCCTCTATAGCACCAAACAGGTTGGATGAAGAGTGGAAAGATGGATATGAATCCAAGATCTCACCCAGGATGCTTGTCTGTAATACTGAAGACCTGGATTTTAAACCTGCCTCAAACTAGGCACAGAATGTCAACTTGGGTATTCCACATTTCAGGCAAAAATCCAAATGAAAGCTAAAATAACTGGCTGGGAAACTCTTTTACTCTAAAGATGTGTTTGGTTTGTTTTCTTTGGAGAGATGGGCAAGGTAAGAGGCGGCTGACTTTTAGTAAAGAAGAAAAATGAAAAAGTCTTGTTTTGTTTTACTACATAAGAATAAAATGTTCAAATTTTCTAAAATTTTTTGTTTTCTGACAGCCTTAATTGCAACTTTTGAGACTAATTTGGAAAGAACTCTAAAAAAAAAAAAAAAAAAGACTGAAGTAAGTATCAATACGTAAATCAAACTGGATTAGAAATCTCAGTGAAAAGAAAGAGGACTTCTGCTTCCATGCAGTTACAGTAGAAATAGTTCATAACAGGTCACAAATACTCCAAAAAACACTTTTCCAGTCAAGTAGCTGAGAAATGTAAATCAGAAAAAAATGCTGAAGAATGCAAATTTGACAGCTTGCAAGGATGCAACAGCCAGGGCACACAGACATATTTTGATGTTTCCAGCAAACTTCTAAAAAAGAGGCGGCCTTATCTAGTTACAAGCTCTCAGCACAAGGGGATGGCTTTCAATGTATCTGTAAAGGGATCTGGTCATCTGGCCAGGAGCTCTCCTAAGACCACCTTACAAACGGACAAGAAGCATTACAAAGACTGAAGAGGAAAAAAAGCAGTTACAAAATTTTTATATGGTTTTCAGTAACATGTGACTAGGACAGCTGATTAGGTATCAGCCCCCCCTTAAAACAGTAAGTCATTAGTAAAAGTCTCTGTTATAGAAGTATTACATACAAAATCTTATGTTATGGTGTTCAAAGTAAACTTATTAAGACAACTGCATGTCAAGACACATCAAGCAAACAAGAATCTTATGCTACTAAACAAAAACATGTAAAGTTTAAATTGAACTTGCATCTGTCATAGTCCAAATAAGGACAACGAGATACACTGGCAGACAAAAGCAAGGGAATTAAGAACAGTGGGGCATGTTAGTACTTACATGTACAAGTCTCCTACACTACAGTTTTGACAACCTTACAAAAAAAACAAAAAAACCCAAAACAAAAACAAACAGCCTAATTTAAAAACAAACAAAACAGAAAAAAAACCCTAAGCAACTGCCAGCACTAATTTCAAAATATATTTAATGTAGTTAGGCTTGTCTTCACAGTTAGATTGAGTTATTTTAAGTAAAGAAGCAACTCATAATAAGCTATACCTGAGCTTCAAACCACACCACCATATCAAACAGCTGGAAGTATTTTTCACCCATGCTGCAGTTTTGAACACAAAATAAACTGAATCAAAAGCAAACTCGAGCTAACAATACAGTGAAGACAAACCTTAAGACCAGTTCTGGGCATTTACACATTTCTTGAATAAAAGGACTCAAAATATGTAATACAAAACCACTGAATTCCAAGAGGTCTGTAAAAGTACTTTAGTTTGGGTGAGCTTCTCTGCTACAAAAATGCACACTAAATTACATCAAAACAACATAGTCCAGTTAATTCCTTTAGACATTATGTAGACACTATTCTGTAACTGTATTATTGCAGGTATTTTAAGTACGTGTTAAAATATATTTGTAAAAGATATTTTTCGTACAATCACTCAGATTAAACACCTAGAGAAAATGATGTGAAAAAATGATGGTGTCTAACGCTAACATTTCGATCTTTTGAGATGGTAAACATTATAAAACTAACAGTCCAAATGTTATGAGAGAATATATCTCTATGATCATGACTATCTACATATGCATCATATTATAACTCTGTGTTATTTAACATCATAGAGGATGCAGAGTACAGTGAATGCTCAGAGCATCGCTGCACTTCACAAATTAGGTAATTTAAGATATTCATAGTGAAATAAAGGGTATAAACCTGTTTCTGCCCCCAAAAAATTATAAAAAATATTTGTGGAAATACTTGTATTTCTTGTCTGTATTAAGTAGCCTGAATAGTTATTTTCTTCTCTACAAAGGGAAACTCCTTTGTGATGAAAACAAACATGCTAAAAAATATAGACTACAGATTAGTTCTGTAAAATCACAACTATCATTACCTTAATTTAAACCAACCTATCTTACTCCATGGCTTCCAGACTGGACACTTGATTTCATAGAAATAAATCCAAGAACTGCTGCCAATGAAGAAATCCTCTAAATATTTACACATCCATTTTTGTATAATATAATTACAAAGGTTTAAAACTGGTTTCATTTATGATGCTATAGAGAACTTGCAAGTTTCGCCTTCCAAGTTAACACAGCTAGTCAAAACTCCTCAAGATGAAATGTTTGTTTCACAAAAACTGTTTGTTTCACATACTGGGGTATGTGCATTTCCCAAGCTTTTTCCACAAGCAGAAGCAGAGACCTCTCACTCCCTCCTTTTCCTCCGTAATTCCCCTTTTCTGATCTGCTTTGAAAGACTGTTTCATTGTATCTTTTGCCACACAGCTAAGTTTACTTTTCAACATTTAAACACTATTTCCTAGTTTCTAAAACCTTTACTAGGATTAAAAAAAAAAATACTTAGAATTATACAGTCCTGTAATTTTTAAATGTAGTTGAAGCCTCAACCATCATGAAACACAGTCAAAATGAACACAGCACACTAAGAAAAGTTAAATATCTTTACAGATCTAAGTCCTTTAGTCTTACAACTCTGACACACGGGTCTCTACACCTGTGTCAACGTAGAGTTCATGTTCATGAACAAGCTATCTACAGTATTATTGCAAAACAAGGCTTTTGATTACACAGCAGTCATTCATAAACCTAATTTGAACCATTAATACATCAATCAGACTAATTTTGAATCCACAACTGAAATTTTACAAACAGAAAATGCAAATTTGGTCTGTGTCTTACACAAAAAATATTCTTAAAGAAAAGATGAACTGTGCTGCAAGGCCTGCAAAAGTCTTAGACTATAACTGAAGTTGCCTGCTATTGGACAGGACAGCCTCTTCACTGTCAACACCAATTTCCATACAACGCACTTCCATGCTATGCAAATGACTCTTCAACCTCACATAAAATTTCAGCTATTATAATGAAAGTCCCAAGAAAAACTTTTTAAATAATTAAAAAAAAAAAAAAATTAAAACCAAAAGCAGAACATAGCCCACTGTGATCTTCTGAACTGTTGAAAACTTTGTTAATTAAAATTTACATTTTAGCTTTTCCTCTGAATAAATAAAAAATTAGATTATTTTTTAAATTATCTTTTGTGATTTTAAAAACATGACTTTGCACCAATTTTTCCATGATAAGCTAAGCACATTAAAATTTCAACTTCTGGAGCTTTTAAGAAAACTTCTAAAAAAAAAAAAACATTCATTCCGTTGCAACAATATGAAAATACAGTATGCCTTCTGACAATCATGTAAACAAGCTAATTAGATGCAGCCTACATATAGAACTACAATATAGAACTAAACAAGTTTCTGGATGACCAACTTAAATCATATGGAAAAAAAAATGAGCAAGAAAAAGCCATCCAAAAAAAAAAAAAAAAGGAAAACAAAGTAATCAGATGGCAAACAAAAACAACTAGATGTGGAGATTAACTTAATGTGAAGAACTATTAATCAGCTTTACATTAAAATGGAGCAGGAAAAAATCTTTTTATAATGAAAATAATTTTTGAAGACTACAATGATTAGGAACCTACTCTGCTGGAGCGTGACCTGCGATCACATCTTTTGGACAAAAAGAAGTCCAAGTTATCAGGCAGTATTCTCTATGACAAGAACCTGTATGTGACAAAGGTGCATCTTT